ATTGTTTATTTTTTAGGAATCTGTTCGTAGTCATCGTGTAACACGTTTTTATTTACAACATAAAGATGATCCACATGGACCATCAGTTTCATTATTTGTTGGTAATTTACCTCCAGGTCCACGTACTGAAAAACAATATGAAAAAATACTTTTTCAAGATATATTTAAATCAAATAAAGATTTAAAATGGGATAATATGGATGTTATTTATTATGAACATGGAGCAATGGTTTTAGTTTATAATGATAGTGATCGTGCAACACGTGCATTTTCAATATTACGACAAGCATATCATGATCAAAAACAATTATTAGTATTAATGTTACCTAATATTCAACCACAAGTTATATCATCAAATATAAATCCATTACTTGTTTTTGTTAATGTTAAATCAGGTGGACAACAAGGATCTGAATTAATAACAAATTTTCGTCATTTACTTAATCCACATCAAGTATTTGATTTACAAAATGGTGGACCTTTACCTGGTCTATATGTTTTTCGAAATATTCCACATTATCGTATATTAGCATGTGGTGGTGATGGAACAGTTGGTTGGGTACTTAGTTGTTTAGATAATGTTGGACAAGATGCATTATGTCAATCACCACCTGTTGGTATTGTACCACTTGGTACAGGTAATGATTTAGCACGTGTTCTTCGTTGGGGTTCAGGTTATACAGGTGGTGAAGAACCATTATCATTGCTCAAGTGTATTGTTGAAGCTGAAGAAATTAAATTAGATCGTTGGACTGTTGTTTTTCATCAAGATCAAGATAAACGTTTACCAATAGTACCAGAAATTAATAGTGGTAAATCAACATCAGCATTAAAGAAAGCTGAAGAAAATAGAAAACGAAAACTTAATGCACCACCACCATCAGTTGCATCAACGGTATGTTTATTTTATTATTTTATTGAAATAACAAAAAAAATTTAGATTAAAGATAATAGTTAAAAAAAGCAAAATTAATAGAATCTTTTATATATATTTTATTTTTTCAAAGTAAAATATTCAAAACCATCAAATGTTTTGACCTGAAATTTCATTCACAATTCAAAAGAATGTTTCCTTCGCAGAACATGAATGATTCTTGAAAATTTAATATCTCTCGAAGAAAACATTCTTTAGAACTGAAAATTTCCACATATTTTAGTTACAATCTATGAGCTAAACTTTAAATCGAAATACGATCATTTTGATATGTGGTATATACCATACCTAGAGCTAGTCCGACAGAGCCAAGATTGGGAAGGATGTAAAGACTTTTGTCTAAAAGAATGTACGAATAATTTTCGACTCCACTGTTTTTTTGTTTGATGGGACGGTGAGGAAGTGTCCTCCTGGTTAGGCCATCTCTGACTAAAATTCCAGTAAAATACAAAAAAAAATTTCATTAAAATTTTGTTTGTTTTTTTTTTTGTTCCAGATTATTCCACAAGAAGGTTCAACAAGTGAAGATAAAACAGAAATGTTTGTTATGAATAATTATTTTAGTCTTGGTGTTGATGCTGATATATGTTTGGGTTTTCATATGGCACGAGAAGAAAATCCAAATAAATTTAATAGCCGGTCTATATATATATATACTTTTTTTTTGAGAAATTAAATTTACGAATTTATTTCTTTTTTTAATAGAATTCAAGCAAAAAGTTATTATGTTAAAACTGGTATTAGAAAAATGATGAAAAAAGGTGGTTTGAAAGATTTTACACGTGATATTGTACTTGAAGTTGATGGAAGACGTGTTGATTTACCACCACTTGAAGGTATTATTATTACAAATATTCTTAGTTGGGGAAGTGGAGCAAATTTATGGGGACATGAAAAAGGTGATAAATTTAGTCGGCCAACACATTATGATGGTATGTTAGAAGTTGCTGGTGTTACTGGTGTTGTACATCTTGGACAAATTCTATCGGGTATACGTTCTGGTGTTCGACTTGCTCAGGGCGGACATGTAAGATTTGAGAAAAGAAAAAAGAACTTTTTTTTTTTTCTTAAATATAAAATTTTTGTTTAAAGGTTCATATTCGAATGAATACTGATGATCCAGTTCCAGTACAAGTTGATGGTGAACCATGGCTTCAACCTCCTTGTGACATAACTATCATAAAATCAGCACTTAAAGTAACAACAAATAAAAAAATGAAAGTAATTTTTTTTTTTTGTAATTTAATATTTAGGCAACAATGCTTCGAAAACGTAAATCAAAGATCAAACGTCGAAATACAGAACCAAGTGTTTATTTTCCTGATGTAGATGATGACTCAAAGGCTTGAGATCTTGTTTTTTGCTCGTTTCAGCTGGTCTGAGATAAACATATATATGTATATGAACCATATATTTCTCCCAAAAATAATTCTAGTCATTTGATTTTTCTTCTCTGTCTCTTTCTCTCTCTCTCTCTCTCTCTCGCTCCTTTTTTTTTTTGCATAGAACACATCGGTGACGCGCGTTGACTTTTCTCATATTTTCTTTTTCTTTCTTGTATACATATCAAGAAGAAGAGAAGAAATAAGAATAAAGATTATTACTTGGAAAAATATGCGCGTGCATAATAATGAAACATGAATAAAAAAAATAAAAAAAAAAAAAAAAAAACAAATCGTATATGTATATCTTCTATCTCATTTCATGAAATCTAGTCGCTACTGATGCTGTGCGCGTTTGATTGTTTTTTAGGCAAAGTTTCTTATCTCTCGCAATTTTCCTTTTTTTTCCTCTCCCTCTTTCTCTCTCTCTCTCTCTCTCTCTTTCTCGCGCGACTGAATAGTGTGTTTGTGTTTATGTTTAGTCCTCTTTTTGTTTTTTCTCGTATATTTTAAATTTAAACTAATTACTAGAACAGTGATTCTCGTTCGTATTTACCTTATAGATACTTGTGCGTTTTTTTTTTCTTCTCTCTATCTTCTCTTTTTTTTTTGCCACAAAATGCTATCTATCCTTTTGTTTGGTTTTTTTTTTCGTGTACAACCACAGAAGATTTTTTTTTTCTTGTCAAGTGTGTGTGTGTGTATTTCTCTCATGACTATTCTGTACGCATTCTCTTTGTTTCGTCAACTGGAGATTATTTCTCTCTCTCTCTCTTTTTTTTCCTTTCGACAATTCAAATAAATATCATACATTTAATATATTGATGTTCTTCTTTCTTTTTTTTTGTTGGTTTATTTTGGAACAATACAATTTATTGAATAATGAAAGAAAGAATTTCCGATAAATTTTCTACATTGAATAATATTATTATTAAGAGTCTAGTTTAATATATGCTTGCCTCTGGCTAAGCCTGAAGGTCTAGAACCTAAATTCACTCAGAAATATCAACTTAATGATTCCCTATTATATACAGAACAGTTTTGAATCAGATTTCCTAAGTGTCAACATACTTATTATTTAGAATCATCGTTAGATGGAAGTCGAGATAGATCCAATGAAACATAATTTATATTGTATTGTTTTGCACACAATGTTAAGAGGAGAAACAAATATAACCACTTCAACTTGGAGAAAATCATGTTTTTCTCTTGTGGATTAGATGAAATAATCTTGATTGATTTCTAAAATATCAATTCGTCGGCAATAAATATAAATCGATCCATCGATTTTTGATCATTTTAGCATGTGATTTAGTAGATATATCTGAACGACAGAATAAATTTTCTGCATCAGATATTGAATTGTTGTTACGAAATCTATGATAGATAAGCTTTCATTGAATATAAAATTAATTTCAGGGTTGTCGATATTTTTTAGTGAGTGAAGAAGGGCTAAAAATTCAGTAGAGAGTGTTTACATCTTCGGAAGAACGAAATCGACCGTGTTCCAGTCCATCCCACAACAGATGATCTACCACCAAGTTCAATCCTATTCATCTCGCAACGACATTGTCTGTGTATTTTTATTCCACTTTTTGCCACAGACGATAAATGATGTTTCAAAATTCTTGGCCAAACATTAACCTTTTTCATCAATAAATATTTTTGAAGATTATTTTACACTTTATGAAATTCGTTATGTTTTTTTTCTTTAGACTCTATTGTTTGATTTTTTGTAAAAAAAAAAAAGAGAAAACAATCAAAATGTCAACAGAAAATGCTGGTGTAACAGCTTCATCGGCTACACCACCCAATATTTATGGTGGTTTAGAAGGACCTGAATCTATGTATTTAAAATTGATTTCATCTGATGGACATGAATTTGTTGTACGTCGAGATTTTTCTATAAGTGCATCACCAACAATAAAAAATATGCTTAGTGGTCCTGGACAATATTCAGAATCACAACCAAATGAAATTTATCTTAAAGATATACCTTCACATATACTTATTAATGTTTGTCGTTATTTTGCTTATAAAACAAAATATACAAAGTAAGATTCTTTTGTTTTCATTTATTGAATAATATGAATATTGTTTATGTTTAGTTCATCGATTGATATTCCTGAATTTCCAATTGATATTCAAGTTGTAATTGAATTACTTGTTGCATCAGACTTTCTTGATTGTTAATATATGGCATTTTTTTTTTCCTTTGTTGTTTTTTTTATTATCTACTATTCACAATATATCGAGTTTATATTATATTCTTATTGATTAGGAAAAAAATGATCGATATTATTCTTAGTGTAAATATTCTAAGTAATCTAAAGAAAAGATCAAACTGAAAAAAATAGAATAAAATTCAACGCGATTAATCTTGATGATCTTTAAGAAATGAAATATTAAATAAAATGAAATTTAACTATAAGAAAAGAATTAATTCAATGATCTAATTCTGATATTTCATATTTCTGTCAGATTATATATTACACAAAGATAGCACTCATCAGCGTAAAACATTTGCTCATATGTTGACCACAAAAAGACAATTGGTTAGTTAGCAACAAAATTTGTCGCTATTTTTGAATATATATGTTTAGATTTTCCTTTTGCGATAAGACTGAACAATTATCGGTAAGTTTCGTGAAAAAGTCCAAACTCGTCTCTCTAACAAGCAAAATAGCAGTTTTGGCGTAGTCCTTCGTTTGTGTCTTGGAACAAATTCAACTCAACGTTTTTGTAGAACATTGAATTCTGTACAAAATGAGATATTACAATAAGCAAAATCTTATCTATTTGTTTTTATAGAAATCAGCATTGGTCAAAAAATCACTGTTTCAAAGTACGAAAGTTTTAAAATCTATCATGCAAAAGCAACTAGCAGCACTATTCAGAGCTGGACAAGTACAGACTTTCTCAAGTACGAGTATAACGAAAATTGCACTCAAGAACCCTGTTACAGTATAGCTGTCGAATATAGATAAGTGCACTCTTGCATAAGATCGAGAGCGAAAGAAATTAGCTATTTATTTCATCTTCGAATGAGAGAAATAGGTATTCGGGGTCATTTTAATATAATACATTTTATGTAAAAGGATGACAATGGATAAGGCTGCTTTGCTGTCCTCAAAATGTTTCATTGTTGTTCTTTATTGAAATCAATTCAGTGGCAACACTCGTTAACATTGCAAAGCTTTATTTCGCAACGCTTGGCAATCAAGTTTTCGAGTCACACTCGAACCCGTAGAAGTATGTCTGAGTTTTTGTTGGGCTCGTAGAGGAATACGAGTGTGATTCGCAAACTTGACCGAGAAGCGCTACAAAATAAATCGTTAAAGCAATATTAAGAGTTACCACTGAATTGATTTCAAAACAAAAAACTGAACTATTTTTAAGGCGGACAAACAGTCTGATCCGTTCTCAACTTTTCGTAGAGCAAAATCTCTCAGCTGAAATATGAATCTTTGTGGTTGTGAATGTGGCTCTGGATGTGTATGCAAAGATACCCAGTGTCCACACCCACGACAATACAAAATCATATTAATACGATGCAATGATGGTCTCATCAATTTATAGAATCTTCTTACCGACTTGTCATATCTTGTTGTTGAAACAAAAAATAAATAGATATAAAACTTGCGCAATTCTAGCTAATTTGTTGATTCAAGTTCTTCATGCTTTTTTTCGTCTTTGCTCCTGGTAAAAAATATTTTTTTTTCGTATCGATATCAATATTACAAATAAAATAAATGTATCAAATTTTTTTCTTTTGACTACACAATAATTTATGTAATTTTGAAATTTTTGATCAAAGTAGGATTAACTCTTTGTACGTTTGTAGCTTTTATCTTTCTTTTCAGACATTTAAGAACATATTTTCATGCTAATTTTATTTTGAATCTTGGAAAATGTTCAGAATAATCTCTAATTTGAAAATATGTGTAGCATAGAAACTTGTTCAACAATAAAAACAAGTGTTGTTTATGACAATAGTTTGATGACAGGTCATTCATTGTCATTCGACACAATGACTCGCGTGTCCAATGTAGATTCTCTCATTGATTTCTAAAAGATGATAGTTACCTACATCGAGTACGCATGGATTGATGAGATGATGTTGTACGAGTAAACCGACTGTTGTCAAAGCTAATTTTTCTTCTACAGATGGTCCTCGATTTTCCCAATATTCACCAAAAACACCATGTGAATCAGCAGGATTTCGTTCAGAAACAGTAAAACCACGACGAGCGATAGCTACGGTTACTCGATACATGTCTTGATCAGCAATCAATACTGGTATAGGACCATTGTATTCTGTTTTATGAAATTCATTGACAAAATCATCAAAAGCATCAAGATGACGATCATTAGATTTGTTTTTATTGAATATAGGTAGAGCAAAGACGATAGCACGAATGTTCTTGTATAATGGTCCATCTTGTTCGAGTACTATTCGAATAGCTTCTGCTGAGAGTGCTCATACTTTTGCATTAATTCCAATATGACTACCAGAAAATACTCCAAGTCCGATACCTGTTTCAACAACAATCTGAACAACTTCCTCATCACATGCACGCAATCGTAATCTAGCCATACGCATCAAGCTTTTTCGAATATGTTCTTCATGAAGTTTACCTCGTGGTCCATTGGCTTTTTGATAAAAATCTCTTCCATTATAGAGCACTGGTAAATTTGATCGTTGACCAATATGAAAAACTTCTTCCCAATTTGAGATATAGTAAAGAATATCATCTACATCGTGTTTTCGACCAGCGAAATCAATACCCGTCGCTGAAACAAGTTTAATTCGATCAGGCTAATCTTTATTCACATTGCGAGATATAATTTTAGCGTCGAATTCCATCAAGATGGGACATGTTGAAATTCTTACGACAAATTTCATACGAAAGGCTTCTTCACCATCTTGACTTTGTCCTTGTAAAGCACGCTTAAGAAATTCTTTGTTCGTACCTTTAATATTTTTGTCAGCATAAACTTTATATGAACATTGCCAATCGATAATTTCTTGTACAATGATTGTAAATGAATTCGCAATATTCTTAGGAAAATGAATTTGTGTATTTGGATTCAAAGAATGTAGAGGTTTGTCCAATTGAAATGATTTTACGTCGTGAACAATATATTTTCCAGGAATATTTTTGAAACCAAATACATCTGAAAGAAATCGTTCCATTTGATGAGTTTGTGGATCACATTGACCACTCATCGGACCATTTTTTTCTATGGGAGCCAAATTCATAAGATCTTCTAATAGAGAACCTTTTTTTTTGTCAGTATATTGATTAAGACCAAATATAGAACTTGGATATGCTTTCTGCTGCTTATGTAATCGTGAACTTGTTATTGCTAATTGACCATCTGTTGATAAGTTACTTGACATAATGACTTCTGTTGGTTTTCCATCAGAACGATCTATATTCGAAAATTTCGGGTCTGCTTTATTGTTTTCTCTTTCATCTGCAGTCTTGATTTTAATAAGATGGTCTGATGAAAAATTATCATGAGATAATTCGATTTTAGATAATTTTTCAAGATCTATTTGAAGTTCTTCAAGATGTTTCATCCATCGATGGAGATCATCTTCGGAATATTCAGATTTTTCTCGACTTAAACGCAATTCATTCGATAGTTTATTGATCAAATCAGACATATGATTATTTAATTCTTCAGTGAATTGTTGTAAATTAGTTCTAACTATTTGAGCAGCCCATTGAATCTTTTCAATAGATTTCTTTTTCCATTGATCGATTTGTGCTAATAATGTTTTACTGATAGTCTGTTGACTTAGACGTTGTTTGAGAACATTATGTTCTTGTTCAATATTCTTCATTTGTTGAGTAAGTTCTTCACGATGTTCATCTGTATGATGATTACAAAATGTTTGATTACATCCATTGCATGTGAAAGTTTGACTACTTTTGTCACATTTACAGCAAGATTTCGTCATACTATTACCTGTTGCTATTCTAAAAATGATAATGTGAATAAAACACAAGAATTCTTTTTTTTCTCGTTTGATAACCTAATAGGTCTTTTTAATGTTGATAAGAATAAACAAAGCAAATATTTGGAATAGAAAGAAAAATATGAGGTAGTTTAATATAACACATCTATCTAAATATTGAAGTCTAAGAATGTAAAAATTCTTGTTTTTTAATTGTTTATTTTCTCTTGCCATAGTTTTTGTTCTATGCCGTTTCGTCAGACTATCCATGATCTTCTTTCTATTGCTTTCCTTTCACCATTTATTGATAATGAAACAAACAAGACGGTGATATTGGACGAAGTGTTTTTTTTTTTCTTCATTCGTTCCACTATCAATAAATAGTAAAAGAAAAGCCAAAAAAAGATAATAATATTACATGCATAAAAAAATCTCGCACGATAAGATGAGAAATCTGCTGCCCTCTAGCAGCTTTTTAAAATATATACAGCATGAAAGATCATGTTGTTCTGCATCTAGCGATGTGATGAGTTTGACTTTTATCAATGATAGGAAGT